TTGCATACATTTAATGGAGCAAAGTGGCTGAAATGAAACATTACCAGAGAAGCAAGGGTGAAGTTACTGAAGTACCCAAGGCCTGCACCAAGTGCAGAAACATCTATGGCACAAAGTTTGGGGTAGAAGAAAAGAAATCAACATTTTCTTTACAATATACTAGTCCCAACAAATCCTCAAACTAAGAGGATGTTATTTCAGTTCTATTGGAAAAAAATACTAAGCATATGTTTAACATTAAAGCAGGATTTGCAACCTCGCATTTAGGAGGCAACTCTCTGCTATCCCAGCTGTTCTACAAAATAATTTTCATTGCTTTCATGCCACCCTTGCTTTGGATAACCAGGATTCTCTGCCACAATGACCACGACACAAATACATTATTAGGAAGACTTTAAGGTTATCAAAGCCAAGTTTTAAAACAATAGCTAACAAGTCATAGGTCTTAAAAATCCCAGTCTTACTGACACCATAAATCACACAGGTTCAGTGCAAACAGAACCTCTTTTAAAGTATAAGCCCTTGTCCATTTGTTCCATATATTTATATACACACACACACAAAGAGAGAGAAGGAAAAAAAACCAAAAACATTCTAAGTCTATTACCCTTCAGCCTCCTATTACACGACTATTCCTTACTATATTACCTGCCAGTTATGTGCAAGCTCCTACAAACATGAGAATATAAAAATTAAGGAACTTCAGGGTTTCTCTCATTTAACAAAACAAACAAACAAACAAACAAACAAAAAAACCCCCAACACACACACAGAAAAACCCCACACCACAGATGCATCTTAAAAGACAACCAAAAGGTTTTGGCTCTCCTGTGAAACTGGAAGGCCATCAGGACCTCCTAAAATCATGTCACCCAAAAAGAAAAGGAAAACGGTAATTTGAAGGTGAAATGGAAAAAAGGCACTCATTAAGAACACTAGTATCAACATCTTCCTATTCACAAGCCAGGAAATGAAGTACTGCATACTGATCCATTCAGAAAAACTGAGAAAGTGAAACTTCATTAAATATCAAGCTATTGCTTCCCAAACTATCCTAGATAAGATCCCAAACTGGTCAGGTACAGCTCCAAGCACTGTTAATTAAACACAACTGAAGTTGTCACTAGTCCATTCAAGAAAACAGATGCTGCTTCATAGAGCTTTGATATTTTTCTTAAATACCTTTCAAAATGAGGAACAAAAAATATGAACTCTTATAAAAAGGGCTTTATTGTATTTTTATAGCATATTACATACCTTGTAACAATCATTCTGTTAAGTGTGAATGTCAGTTTTATTTTCTGTCCCTTTTTTCCTGGCTATTTACAAGCTTTGTAAGAATCGTTCCTTAATTAAGTCTAAACATAGTTTTATATAAATGGATTCCTGGAATTAAAAACGTTCAGACTTAAGAAATGATTGTTACAGAGACTGTAACAGGCCGTAAAAAAGAATGCCACTTTAAACAAAGATTTCTCATTTTAATTAAAAAGATAATCATCAGAACATTCGTATACTTAACAGAACCATTTGAAGCTACTTTGAAAAAATATCTACTATTCTATGCAGGCATATGTAGTTTATATGACATTTAATCAAAGTCTCAGTTGAGCCTATTGCACTCATACTTTAAATACTGTATCTACAGTTTTAAACACTTTATTCAAATACGAAAGTTACTTACTGAGCACCTCATTTCTAGTACTTTGTAAGTGGTTATGACAACAGAAATCCTGTATTCTTGAAGGCATAAAAACAGAGCTCTGTAAGGCAAGGGCTTGGGGGAGGGTTTTTTGTGGTGGTTTTGGGGGTTTTTTTAAGCTAATGGGCACATTCACCTCTCCTTTTAGCTTGTGCATCAGCGTCTTAGACACTGTACTTTACGAAGACTGTAGTTTTATCTGTAAAGACAGGTTCCGCTCTGGTAGAATCCTTGGTGTAGCTGCAGAACACTGGACTATATAATTTACAAGATCATATTTTAAATCTATGAACTGGCTTTCATTCAAAAAAGACTTTCAAAGATGACATGGAGAATACATGACAGGAAACACTCATTCACCAGCAAAAACAGTCTTCCCTGGCGAGCAGTTGCTTAGTATTGCATTATGCTAATACACAGCAATTTAAAATTAGAAATAAATTAGGCCTTCTTAAAATGTAGAGGTAAATTGAGTATGCAAATGAAGTTAAAGAAATTACTTAAACCTTAAAATATTAGATTATATATATTTTAGCTGACCATGAATAACTAGGAAACTGGTAGTAGATATTAGCTAAATGTAATACTGTTTCATTGGCAAGTAATCAAGCCAATACCAGCCAGTAAGAAGGCAACCTTCTTTTACTCCCATCAAAAAGTTGCATAGACATGAGCACGCAGAAGAAAACAAGAGTCCTGTTTGTCTTTCAAAGCATACCTTAAAGCAAGATAATTTCATTCATAATATTAGCTTTGGATGAAGTCTCCATGTGACATTTTTCTATTAGAGTTAGACATTAAAACAAAAAACAAATCGCCAGATCTGTCTTGCCTGATACTTTGTGACTCAAGAAAGCTGCTCATAGTGAATGCCAAAAATCAGGTACTGACATTTTCAAGTGCAAAAAGTATTATTTTCTAGAGAAGCACAAAAATACTACCACCTACAGGGCTGCTTTTCAACATGAATGAAACCTACCACAAATCCCTATCAAAAACAAAACTATCAAAAGCTGGAGACATAATAGGTCTCATGCCTCCAAAAGATATTTGAGTATTTACCTATGATGGCACTTGGGAAACTCTCAGGGAAAAATCAATAATTAACAGCAAAGCCCACCTCAACCCAAACTGTGAGCCACCTAATAAGGAAGATATACATGAAACGTATCACACACTTGGATGAAAAAGATAATACGCTGTGAATGATTCAGCATTAGTTGAGAGGCTGCACAAGCTGATCTACTACCTTTATGTAGATAACTGTACCAATGCCATTACTGCCGTACCCAAGTGCTTTCTGAGTGCTAAAAAGCAGAAACAAGAAGATGCTTCCTAGGAGGGCCAAGCTGATACTTGCAACTGATACTTCGCGTATCAAAACAACCTACCTGTGCCACATCTCCACAAACACCAAAAGACCCCACCAAGTCTTTTACTTCATCAGCATAATTGAAGAGTCATGTTCTAGACAGACATGCACTATAGGAAAAGCCTGAGATGTGTTACACAAAAGCTTGTCTCACTCTTCTCTCAACCTGTAAGCAAAAATACCCTAAAAAGTTCAGAGTGAACAGAAAGAAGCCACATCTTTCATTGCACTTTTTACAAGCATTTTGCATACAAGAGGCATTTTAATAAAACATTGAGGAATTTGGTTTAGCTTTCAGTTCTCGGTGCAGCCTGATCTTGATAATTCCTCCCTTTATCTGATGCTCTTAACAGATGCATCTCCTGTAAGAGCAGCTCTCTCGTGCTCAGGTCTCTCCCTAGTGTCAGGGAGCTTTATTGTTTGAGTGGAACACAGCCAGCTGCAAGATGGACAGGGATTCCCTCAGGTCCCAGGCCCAATCTTATCGAAGATCTCAAACACCTGGACTAAACCCTTGGATGGGAATCTTAGCACCTTAGCAAGGGTCGAAAAAAGGAGCGTATGAGAAGTCAGTATAGCATGTTCACAATGCTGCCTGGCAGAAGACAAAAACGTTTCAGCAGAAACTTTTCAGGATATGAAACTCAGTATCTAGAGGCAGGCTGTAATTACCAAGCTTGGCCAAACACAAGTGCAACAGGATCTGGGACACACCTTTGGCCAATCACACACCAAAGAGGGTAGTTTATTATTACTAATTGCTACCTTGCCTATTTAGCTATCTATAGCATTTTCCCACTTCGCTGAACTGAGACTCTATAAATCTGACAAAATTGGAGACTACTAGCAAAAACGTCAAAAAGTTTCAAGAGAAACAAGTTCTACAAGATTAAAAAACAGAAGTCAAACAACTGTTTTGAAGCTCAATTTAAAATTAAAATTTGCAACTAGCATTTCCTCAATTTCATTTTGGGCATATGTTCTGAAGGTTTAATAGAATTGCTTCTTCTTGATGAGCTTAGATTTAATTCTGTACCACTGGAAGCACTAATCCAAAACAAACTTTTAGCAAGTGTTGCCAGTCATTTAAATTATATCCTTAGGGAAAGAACAGTTTTGGGCACCCAAAATTTGCATTCAATTCAGTTGGCAACAGTTTGTTTTCATTTCTAAATCTTATGTTTCTGGCCAAAACACTTAGAAATATCAACAAATGAAGAAAGAGAGAACGAAACTACAGTTTAAGTGCATCATGCCTCCAATCTAAGTAAACTAGCCACATTTGAAGAGCATCTTGGATGCAAGTACCCCCAAGGCTGCTTTCCATGCCAAAGGCCAACTCCCAAATCTAAACAATGTAAGCGCTCTTCACACTCACTATCAATGATAGGCTGCTGCAGCAGCAGGTGAAAGATTTAAGTGTCGGTATTTACACCTCTTATGGCAGAATGGAAGGAAAAACAAAATAAAATTGCAGAGAGATGGTGTGCAGTACAGAAGGATAGTCTAAGGTGTATTTAAAAAAAAAAAGAGAGAGAGAAAAACCCAAGAATTACATGCACAAGCCCTCCCGGTGCCTGTGGGCCCCTCTGCCAGCCCTGCCTCTCTCCAGTTTAACTTCTGCCGCTCCCAGGTGGCACCTGCAGCCCCCTACTCCCCTCCAACCCAACGATACTTTTCCACGCATCTGGGGGTCCCGCTCCCGGCAGGCAGCCCTCCCCGGCAGGCAGCCCCCTCCCCGCAGCCCACGGCGCCTCGGGGGCCCCGCTCACCGCCCTCCCCCGCCCGCGGGACGAGCCGCCGCCC